GCGCTCACCCTCCAGTTCTTTCTGGGGATTGCCCACTTTGCCATCGGCCTCATCTTTTTTCCTGACCAGCTCTTCATTACTGCTCATGGCCTCTTCATGTCGCTCGACCGCAACGGCGCAGGCTCTTTAGGCCTCCTCCAACTTCTTCTGCTCACCAGCAAGTTGAAACTCGAGCGACACAACCTGGCGGCGTGTGCTCTCCAGCTCCACCTCAATTGCTTGCAGATCAGCATGGGTAGCTTTCCAACTCGCCCTCTCCCTCTCCAACTTCGCAAGCTGGGCCTTGGCCTCATCTGCCTTGAGTTTGGCAGCCCCCGCTTTCCTCAACAGAGCCCCTGCTAAGGTGGTTACCTCCATTTGGGCGGAGCATAACCCCCTTAGCAGTTCAGCCTCGTTGAATCTGGATGCCGAGCGCAGGGCTGCCTCTTCTACGATGCCCACCAGGCGGTCTGCCCCTGCCCTAGCTGGGCCTTCTTCTCCCTTCAGCCGCCCAGCCACCACGCGAGCGTGGTAGATCGCTGTGGTCAGACCAACTCCCCCTCCTTAGGGTGTAGGGCCCCCCTGGGGCTACTCTTCTCTTCTTGAGCCAGGGTCGCTTGCCCCATCTTCTCCTTGCCCTTCAGGGACAGCCCTCGCAACCCCCGCGGCGATCGCCGCCACCACTGGCACCACCTCCATGCGCTCTGAAGCAACATCCACCGCTTCTGGGCCACCTACCCTTCCTGGGGTCCTCTCCACTTCTCCCCCCTCAGCCCCTTTGGCAGCACTGGTTTCCTTCACACTTGTCTCCCTCCTCCTCTTCTGGGCAGGCACCTCCTCACTCTGTCTCACCCTCTTCTTCTTCTTCTCCACGCCCAACGCCTCCATCTCCTTCAAAGACCTCTCCTTCAAAGGTTCTGTTGGGGGCGGCCGTGGCACAAAATTGCCTAAGTTTTTCTCTCCTAAGGGTTTGGGGTGAGGTCGAATCCTCTCCCTCGCAACCGGTTTTGGTGGTCGGTCGGCCTGGGACTTTTTGAATTTTGGGGCTTTAGCCAGGATGGCCTGATCCTCCGCCTCTTGAGCCCTTCTCCTCGCCTCCAACTCCGCTCGGTCGAAGTCCCCACTACTTGGCTTTGGACCCAACCCTGCCTCAAACAATGCAGACAGCTGAACGAGCTCGTCCCATTTGGCCCTTCTTTCTCCCTCCACTCCTTCACCCTTTTTACCCTCCCCACCGCGGCTGCTCTCAGCTTCGGCTCCACAGACCTGATGGGTACTTTCCAAATGGTGCGCACTCCAAGCCCCCCATTGGTAGACACGTAGAACCATCGTAGTCGCCACCCCTTGATCGACGACGGCAGCCCCGCCACCAACCCTCTCCCCACTACTGCCTGCAGAGTGACCCACGTCTCCTACTGCCCCGAGGCCTTATAACATGCAAACAATTCGTCTACTGTCATAGCCTTCCCTCCATTTGCTTTCGGCCACGTACTTACGCAAGCCAGCAGGATCTTCCACGCATTGGGCATTAGTTGCCCCGGTGCTACCTCTAGACGGTTGAGCACATCCACCGCCACTTGCGGCAGTGGCAACCTCAGTCCACCCTTCAGAGCTTCCTCATAAAGGGAAAACTCTCCTGGCCTGGCGTCAGACGGCCTTTCCGTTGATGTCGGCAGCAATAACTCCACTTCCGCCGGAATCTGGTATCGTTCCCTGATAACCTCCAAATCCGCCGCCGTGAGTGTGGATTTGTCCGCCTTAGTATGCCACTGCTCCGGCTCCACCTGGTTCAGTGGCTTTGGGGCCAATATCAGGGCCTCCGTCCTGTATCGCGCCGCTAACTCCTCCGCATCATCGTCCCCCAGCGGGTCCACCCTCACATTAACTCCTTCTTCTTGTGCCATTTCTAGGGTTTGCTTGCAACTCACTTCTGGCGCAGGAACGAGGAAGTTCAGAAAATACTACACCAGTATGTCGTATGCAGTGAAGGAATCAACACTTGGACATTTTGGGTTTTTGTACACAGGTAGTTGAAACGCATTATACCAACAACCCACGGTTTACTCGTATTCCATGGATCCGCAGCAACAAAGGAATTCACACTTGGAATATTTTGATTTTTCGTAAACAGGTAGGTGAATCGAATAATGCCAAAAGCCCACGGTTTGCTCGTTTTCTAAGGATCCCAATTAATTTTCGCCAGTTTGAAAACTTTTCAAAATCATCCGCCAAAACTGTCTCTTCAACACCCATAATGACTTACCGTTTCATTTCTGATCCAACGCCTAATCTTCCCCCCTACGACGTATACGTCCACGATCCCCTGTCTCCTCCCCTTACCTTGTCTTTTCCACTTCAACTCACCACGTGACACGCAGCGTCTCGAGCCCCACGCCCCTTCACCTCACCCTTCACGGTCGGCCCTCCCTGCTGCCGACCATAACACTCAGCCAACACCGCGGTCGGCCCTCCTCGCGGTCAGCCCTCCCGCTCGGCCAAACGCTGCGGTCGGCCCTCCTCGTGGTCAGCCCTCCCACTCGGCCAACACCGCGATCGGCCCTCCTCACGGTCGGCCCTCCCGCTCGGCCAACCCCGCGGTCGGTTCTCTCCGTGATCAGTCCTTCCACTTGGTCGCCCTGCTCAGTCGGACCACCTCCCGGTCGGTTTACCCCCCCTGGATCACCCCTTCCGGTCGACCTCCATCCTGCCAATCCCTAAAACACTCATCTATGTCACTAATATTCCCTTCGTTGGACTAAAGCTGCACTCGGGAATGGGGGACTAGTGACATGTATAAGCCCATAAAGGCCACGAATCACCAATGGCCCATCACTTGAAGCCCAGTGCATAACCCAGCTGGTAAGGTCCAAGACAGTTGGAGTCGAACATGGCATAAAGAGCCAATGACATTCAGACACACGGCAAGAGAAGGACGAGCCACATCAACAGACAAAGATCTGCAAAGTTATTACCACTGCACATCACCATTAATGCAGCCCATCACAACATTTATTACGACAACATCTCTCCGCTGGCACAGGACCCCCTTACCTTGAGCAAGGTAAGCTACATCATAGGCTTTCGGCGATGAGAGCAGGTCGGAAGGGACAGCGAAATGATTGCCAAACGATATAAGCGAACGTTGAAGACAAGAAAAAGGTTAAGCTTTCTATCTCTAATCTCTCCCCATATGCTCTACTTCTCTTCTTAACTTGCTCGTCGGAGGGTTCACTGGGGGACTACCCCGTTCCCCGCTGAACTTGTTTGCAGGTTATCCGGTGGGCTCGATCCTTTGGGCTTGGGCTTGAGGAGCTTGGACTAGTTCGCTCCATTCACTAGGATAAACTGTATCAACAAAATTGATGTAAAACATAAAATGTAAAATTTATTAAATTAATACATGGATGACATATAATATTATATCTAAAATATAATATCTAAATTTAGGCCTCGTTTGACAACATTACTTTTTAACCTAAAAGTCAAAAAGTCACTAAAAAAATCAAAAAATAAAAAAACCAATAACTTATACTAAAAAGTCAAAGATTGTTTTTTGTCTCTACTTTTTGCACATCTTTTCGTAAAAAATCAAAAAGTCATCTTAAACATACTAAATTTTTTACATAATATTTTAGTCAAAAAGCTAAAAAGTTACTAAAAAAATATGTTCCCAATCAAAGCCTTAATCATATTGTTTATAGAGGGTATAAGTTTTATTATGGTAGGGGTGGTGTTAGCAAAATATTTGTTAAGCTCTCAATCGACAGGATCTCAACATAAATTTCACTAAGCAATCAATCAACAATCGAATAATTGTCAAGAAAAACAAATGAGACGAAAGATGTACAATTTTAAGTAAATTACCTTACAACTACTCTTACTCCAACTCCTAAAATTGAAGTTCTATCATAACTAGAAGATGTGTTGATGTTTGTTGATATCCATCTCCAATCTGTCTTCAACCTATTTGTAGGGTTACAATCGACAGTTTCTTATTCGGCAGGAAGCAGTTTTTCATTCATTTGGCCACTTCATGAAAAAAGTCAGTCCACATCCCCAACAATGTGCCTGTTTGGTGCAGCTTAAAAGCTGCTTATTTCAGCTTTCAGCTTAATTTAAGCTATTTTGATGTGTTTGGTTTAATTTAACAATGCAGTTTATAACTTTTTGTAAGTCAGAAATCAACTTATTTTTTGAGTGGGACAGGAGATGCTTAATTTATAAGTCAGAAATCAGCTTATGTTCATAGTTCTAAACTATAAACTATTAAGACATAAGCTATAAGCACTTTCCCACAGCTATACCAAAGAGGGCCAAAATGCCTCACATTGCCTCCATCATCTAAAGCCCAATTGATTATGTGCTAACCATAACAAAACAAATAATAATAATAATAATAATAATAATAATAATAATAAATGTGACCATAGTTACTCTTAAAAATAATAATAATAATAAATACGGCCATAGTTACTCTTAGGCCTCGTTTGGGAACCCTCCCTTTTAGTCAAAAAGTCAAAAAGTTATTAAATTAGTCAAAAAGTCAATAACTCATACCAAAAAATTAAAGATTCTCTTTTCTCTCTACTTTTTGCACATCTTTTCGTAAAAAGTCAAAAAATTATCCCAAACATACTAATTTTTTTTCGTTCATATTTTAACTAAATAGCTAAAAAATTACTAAATTAACCTATTCCAAACGTGATCTTAATAACAATAATAATAAATATAGTCGGATTTTGCCGATTTCTATTTCATTTACAACACGTAGTCACGAAAAATACAAAAATTAATGATTTGTATCTGGGTCTACAAAGTGAACTTAAGCCTTAGACAACCACACAAATAACATTATCTTCATTCTAAATGATTGATCTGTATCTGGGTCTACGAAGTGACCTCAAGCCTAAGACAACCACACAAATAAGATGATCTTCATTCTTCTTATTATTTTTAAGTTTTAGGCTCAATAGGATTTGCTAAAGACGATGTTATCCCTGCGCTGATACTTGTCCCTATGGGTGTATTTTTGACATTTTGGTCCTACGCTGAAAGACAGTGCCCACAAAAAAAATCAGCCCCTAGAACTCTCACAAAAGGAGAGCTGCAATAGAAGGAAGGGAAAGTAGGAGGCTGCAAGAATATGGAGGCTTCAAGCACTGCCCAACAGTCTCTCAGGTTTCACTTCTCTCATCCTAGAAGTAGTTATATGCAAAAACATACATGCATACATACCTATATGTGTGTGTGTGTGTTTGTGAGTGTGTGTGTGTTACTTTTCATTCTTAAAGAGTTAAAAATTCTCCAAAATATAAATCAAAAAGTGATATAGAAATAAAAAATTATTGCCTCAGGGCTTTCTAAAAAATTGAGGCAAAAATTCACCAGAAGTATAAAAGCTGAAGGCATGCAAAAATGCATTAACATAACTAGAATCTGGTTATCAAAAAACCTTGACTGATTAAAAAAGAATTGATGAAAAGAGCTAGGTTTACTGATTGACATTAGAAATATGTCAGATTCACAGTAGAAGAAAATCGGGGAAGAAATTTAAATGAGAAATCTCTTATCAAATGTGTAAATCATGTGAAAGGTCTGTCATATTGCCAGAAAAAGTTCCAGTACTGTCATGACGAATCAGAGTAACCACAGTCAAGAAAAGACAGCAGATATAGTTTCACAAAACAATTATGATCAATAAAATAGTGAACAAGCAAGCAAATATACTGAATTACCATAGATGTCTAATAATGTTTTGTTCTCTTTAATGCCTTGTTATTGACAAGTAAAAACTATATGGACATGGTTACTACGTGCCATAATAAATACTAAAGCCTCTTAATTGAGCAGGTGTGTAACAATGGAGGAGGGCAAGACATTCTGCAAGTGCGCTGAAGGGTGGGCATGCGAGTTCAGCAAGACAGAGGCGTCTAAAGTGGGCAAACCCTTCTCTAATTGTGGAAACAGCTGCACCTGTATCACGTATATCTAACATCCTTTAAATTTACTTCTATCAAATTAAGGTCATAAGACTAGCTAGCTTTCAGTAGCCTAGCAGTATTGCAATTTGTTGAAAGAAGACTTAATTTCTTTCTATCTTATGTCTTCGCAAATAAAATACACAAGAATGGTGAAATTTAGGCGTATAGCCATAAGATGCATTTCAGTATGATGAAAACTTTCACTGAAACTGAAGGTAAAAATCAACATAAATATTATTTTTTGAAGAAAAGAAACATTGAGATAACACATTTCAATAGGCAGAAGATGCCAGCATCAAGATTCTCAAGATATCTCTGGCTATTGTCTAAAAAGTTAATGAAATTCTTAATATTTGGAAGTCCCTTTACACTTCTGTGTGCAAGAGGATTATCACCCACCAGTGCTAGTTTTCCAAGTGGTGTAATTTAAATTCATAAAGTTGTCTGCATTACAGTCGAAGAGTCCTATACAAACTGAATGTTCAGGTGCTTTGAAGATTTGTGAAGCAGATTTGGAACAGGTGGTTATAATCAAAAGAATCCTCAGTGCTTTGAAGTTCTATCCGGTCTTAAGATCAACTATCACAAAAGTGTTGTTTGTGGAGTTGGTATGGTGGATGAGTCACTACACTCTTTTGCTCACCACTTGAATTGCAAGGTGCTCGACTTGCCTTTGAAATTTTTGGGGCTGCCTCTAGGTGCTAACCCTGGTAGGAAATCTACTTGGAAACCTGTACTTGCCTCTGTCAGAGCTAGACTTTCAGGATGGGCGAGGAAAACACTGTCCTTCGCTGGAAGATTAACTCTGATTAAGTCCGTTCTTTCAAGCCTACCCGTGTTCTATCTCTCTCTCTTTAGGATGCCTGAAGGTGTGGCTCGTGACTTTGAAAACTAGAGGCTGCATTCCTGTGGGGTGGTTCTGAATTAAAAAAGAAAATTCATTTGGTCAAATGGCTGGAAGTAACAAAAAGCGTTCCTCAAGGGGGTCTAGCCATTAGGAGGATTAGGGATGTTAACTCTTGCCTGCTCCTCAAATGGTGGTGGAAATTTGGTACTCAATCTAATGCTCTTTGGAGGCAAGTTATATGCAGTAAATATAAGGTAGAGGTTGACTGTTGGCTTCCTCCAGTGAAACCTTCCTATAAACTTTCTAGGGTGTGGAAGGATATCATGTTCATAGGGATTCAGAGTAGAATCATTTTTAACTACTTGGATAATTGCCTAATTCAGGTGGGTGATGGCCGAAGGATCAAATTCTGGCATGAAAAGTGGTGTGGTGCCACCTCCCTCAAGAACAAGTTTCCTACTCTTTTCACCCTCTCCTCTGCCAAGTCTGGTTCCCTTCACTTTTTTTATGCTATGAAATCTATGCTTCTCAAATGGTGGTGGAAATTTGGTACTCAAACTAATGCTCTTTGGAGGCAAGTTATATGCAGTAAATATAAGGTAGAGGTGGACTGTTGGCTTCCTCCAGTGAAAACTTCCTATGAACTTTCCAGGGTGTGGAAGGATATCATGTTCATAGGGGTTCAGAGTAGAATCATTTTTAACTACTTCTTGGATAATTGCCTAATTCAGGTGGGTGATGGCCGAAGGATCAAATTCTGGCATGATAAGTGGTGTTGTGCCACCTCCCTCAAGACCAAGTTTCCTACTCTTTTCACCCTCTCCACTGCCAAGTCTGGTTCCCTTCACTTTTTTTATGCTATGAAATCTAGCCCCAATGGTTGGAATCTCCTATACATAAGACCATTATATGCTTGGGAGTTGGCGGATGAAGCTAGACTGTTCGATTTGTTATCCTCTGCTCCTTCTCTAAGACCTGAGTGTGTTGATAGTCTGTCTTGGTCTGCGGCAGCTGCTGGTTCTGGTATGTTCACTGTGTCCTCCTTATACTCCTTCAGTACATCTCTTCTTGGGCCTCCACTAGTTCTAAGCAAGTTTATTTGGAACCACATCCTACCCCCCAAAATCCTATTGTTTGGTTGGTTGGCATGGAAAAACAAAATTAAAACTTCTGAATTCTTGCACAACCTTGGCATCCTAGATAACAACATTTCCTCCTCTTGCATCTTCTGCAAATCTGCTCCAGAGTCTGCCCAGCATATTCTGCTACATTGCTCCTTCTCTTGGGCCATTTGGTCCTCTGTGCTTCAGGATTGGGGTCTCCAATGGTGCATTCCTCTGTCTGTTTCAGATCTGTTCTCATGGTGGATGGGGGTGAATTTTAAGTCCTTTCTTGGGCAATTTTGGAGAGCCACTCCCCTAGTTGTCCTCTGGTCTCTTTGGAAACATAAAAACGAGTGTATCTTCTCTGATGTCCCTCCTAACTCAGCTGACCTGTGGGACCTCATCAAGGTTAGATTTGCTTTTTGGCTTAAAGCCTCCCTTAAGGACTTCCCCTACCCTGTTAATGATATAGTTCTGAATTGGAGGCAAATTAGGGGCTGTCGTTGATCATCTGCTTCCTGCCAGTTACGATCTGCTTCTCTGTTAATGATCTGCTCTGCTGGTTTCTTATATGGGTAGACTGATTTGTTGTTTTGATCAGATCTGGAATGCTAATGGTTTAAGGGCTGAATTGTTTGGGAAAGCTGTCTGTGTCTTGGTGGCTGCCTAATGAAAGCACAGATTGTCAAAAGCTTTCTGCATCTTTTTGGCTGTATTGATTTCATTAGTGGCTGTTTTCAAGAATGGTGGTATGATATGCTCTGGTTGCCGGGTGCTTTTTGGTGGTTTGCATCTGTTATGGTGGCATAGAGCTATTTCCTGGTATGGTCTGCAAATAGCATGGCTGGTATGGCTGGTTTGTTGCTGGTTTGTTGCATCTGATATGGTAAGGTCTGCAAATAGCTATTTTCTGGTTGTTGCTCTGTGCTTCTTGCTGCAATTATTGCTTGGTGCTCAGGGGAACATACACAGATTCTTTAGCAAACACCTTATCATCCAGTTATTGCTTGGTGCTTAGGAGATCAATAATCAGATCTTTTAGCAAACACCTAATCATCCAGGGCTGCTGTAGTTCAAGGCAGTGTGGTAGGTATGATTGCTGGGTTATAGTAATTCATGGCAGTTTTGTTCTGTTTTGGATTCTCTGCCTGAAGGGCTGATTGTCTTCTCTGCCTGTTCTGTTTTGGTGCTTGGAAGGGCTGCTGAAGTGTCTTATCTGGTTTTTGTTCATGGCAATGCTGTAATGCCTTATCTTTCTGGTTTTTCTGGTTTTATTTGCTTGGTTTGTTTTGTGTGTTGGTCTCTCACCAACTAGGAGGTTGGAGCTTGGTATAGCTCCAAGCTCCTCTTTATTAATCTACTTATTCTTATATTTCATCAATAAAGTCTTCTTTTTGCCAATCAAAAAAAAAAAAAAAAGAGTCAAAGAGTCCTATCCTGTCACTCTCTTAGCCCCCAAATTTTGCTCAAGCCACTTTCAAACAGAAAGAAAGAACAAAAGATACCACTTACAATGGCGATGATGTGAAGACAAAAATGTGAATGTAACCATGGAAAATACAAAGAACAAAAAATGAAACCAGGGTCCTGATTAGGAGTTCTTAGAGTAACATGTACAATACACGGGCGTACCTTCTAATTTCAGAAGGCATCAAATAGCGATTTGAACTAAGCTATTAATTTATCTTGCAGGGATGCAAGTGCAGGTCAGGCATCAAACCAGCAGAAAACTCTTGAAAGCTCTACAGAAAGCAAGGTCTTCATCAAGTGTGGCGAAGGGTGGACATGTACCATCGCCAAGACCAAAGGCCCAGATGCAGGCGCAACCTTTCTCCAATGTGGTGAAGGTTGCACATGCTTGATTGATGAAACAAATGCAGTGAAGTTGGCATCTGCATGATCTGTGGAGTGTGGACCATCCGAAAATGTAGCATACATTTAACTATAATGTGTTTGACGCCAACACCTGGCTGGTTCTTGTCAAGGAATTTGTCTCACCAACTCTGTTACTAAGGTCACTTGTAAAAAGAACTCATATGTGCATGTAATATATGTGTGTTTTTTAAATAAAGGGCTAGCTATGAAGCACCGACACGTCCCCAAGGCCTAGGTACGGGTGTCGGACACGGGCATGCGTCGGACACGCTGTGGACACGTGTCCGACACTCTCTAACGTGTCCTCTTTTTTTTTTTTTTGAATTTTTCCAGTCAGACACGGGGTGGACACGATGACACTTTCTGGACACACGCGAGGTGGATCGAAGAACCCTAACCTGTTGGAGAGAAAGAGAGAAAGAGATAGAGAGAGAGATTGATTGAAGGAAGAAGCCCTAACCTGTTCAAAAGAGATCAATCGAAGAAGCCCTAACTTGAGGTATTCTTCTTCGTCTTCTCTGTCCTTCGTCTTTTTATTTTTTTATCCTTATTTTTGTTAAACCTAAAATTCATAAAATAAATTATTTTTATTTAAAAAAATCAATTTTTATTAAAAAAATTTAAGAAATGTGTATATTAATTTTACTATTATTGTAATTGTATAGAAACTAATGATAAATATTTTTTAAAATTTTGGACATATAATAAATAAATAAAATTATATATATTAAACATGTCCCCAGTGTGTATTATCCCCCATTGTTTAAAAATTTGTATGTCCGTGTCGTGTCCGTATCCGTATCCGTATCCATTTCTGTGCAATCATAGAGGGCTAGTAAGCTGCCTGAAGTGTGATTATTTGCTGTACTTGATTATGTCTATATGCATGTCACTGGTTTAATGTTGCTAAATATGGAGGGATATGTGTTGTTTAGTAAATGAGAGAAGTGGCTTGTTTGTACAACTGCGAGATCACAATAGAAATAGTCCAGCAATTGAACAAACATCAAGTTGGTGTGGTCATGACACCAAAATTTTTGCTAGCATTAGATATAGAAACTAAGAAAACTTAACGTTTATTGGCTCGTTTGGGATTAAACAATAGTGGGTCAGTCCAACTTGGGAGCACATACGAGGAAGTGTCCCAACTCCTAATCGGTCAGGCTATGGCTCAAGCCAGAAAGGAGCACTTGTACCCTGCAACCAAGGTTGTTAAAATCGGGATCCTACGTTGGATCGTTGGAGGTGTTTATAGGATCGGATCGTAGAATCGGATCGAGGATCGTAAGATCCTACCGAAAAGGACAGATTACATAATAATTTAATTTAAATAAATATTTCTTATAAAGTATACACGAAATGAGCCTATATTCTATTAAAAAAAAGTGAAGATATTGTGAAAAATATAATACTCTATGTAAAATGTACATATAATATTATACAATAGAAAACTCGATGGCAAAAGTATTGTATTTCATCAAAAAAGAAAGTGAAGAAGAAAAAGAATTCTATAACAAAATACTTTACAATCTACAATAATGCATAAAAAGTGAAGAAAAAATATTTAACAAAGTTGGATATGAAAATATATTAAAAACTCAAAAGAATAACTTAACCGAATGATAAGGTTTTTCGTTAGCATCCCTGGTGGAGCGGATTCAAGTCACAAAAATAATCTCTCCAAAAATTAGGATAACATTGCAATCATCTTACCCTTCTTAGACTCTGCTAAAGCTAAGTTTGTTTTTCCGACTATTTAATTTTTTTAAATTATCGCAATATTTGAATGTTTGTTTTCTAGTTTGTTTTTCTTAGTCTATTTGATTCAATACTACTTAATTTTTATTATTTATTTTGACCACATAAATTGGTATTTAGACAACAAATATAAAATTTACAATAAAATATGTCATACAATTCAAAATAAGGCTTGTAAATTGAATCGGATAGGATCGGATTCGGATCGGGATTCTACGATCTTATAAGATCCCACTACCAGGATCGAAAGATCCTACCTATAAGGAGTTTTTTACACGATCCGGATCGATTGTACTTAAATAGATCGTAAGATCGTAGGATCGTAAGATCCGGATCAGGATTCTGATAATTATGCCTGCAACTTGTCCGATTCAGAGTGGATAGGGACTAAAAAACTAATATCATCTATTCTATCCCAAATTGACCTGCAACTCCCTCAGCGAAGCTTCGTCACAATTTATTCATTCCCAAATTGACCTGCAACTCCCTCATTTTTTAATTTTTTAATTTCAATTTTTTTTATAACTTCTCCAGTTTTCTTTTCTCTTCATCTACATTTTTTTGGGTCAATCAGTAAAAGATCAATCTATTATTTCATAGCACACCCATCGGGTGTGCACACCTTCTAGTTCATCATAGTGCAGAGAATAAGTTTTGAGGACGTCAATGATGTTCAAATTTCCTACTTGGGACATAATTTAATTAACAAGATGCATAATAATATTCAATGAACATAAAAGGAAAATGTTGTACAGGAAAAGGGAAAAAAAAAATCATTCATAAAATCGATTCAAAACAACAAAACTGTAAAGTTTAGAAATTAAATTGACCATCCTTTTGTTTGTATTAACTAAAAAGAAAAATCAATGCATAATTCGATTCAATTTTTTTTTCTTTTTTTTAATTTATTTTTTTATTTTTAATTCACAATGTCACAAATAAAAGACTTTGGCAACCAAATCGAAACAATTCAGATGAACAGATATGTATAGGCAATATTTAAAAACGTAATCAACAAATTCATTGCAATTGCCTCACGACGAAGAAGATGACACAAACAGTTGGATGTCCTCCAGAAAAGTCCTATCCTTGGGCCTCAGATCTCTTCTCACGTAATCTTTTGCCTCTTTCTCCGAATAAACTCTAAACCCTACCATCCCATTCCTCCTCCACATCTCCTCCGCGTAGCTCCGATGGGCATAATAAGCCTCCGCCTCCACCACCGCTCCTCCGCCGTCGTTGGCAGGGAGGAGTTGAATAGGGAGGCGCTCGTAGTGGCCGAGGGAGATGCCTTCGAGGTGGTCGAGGGGGAGGAGGGCGCGTGGGGAGACGGAGTAGAGCTCGCCGTGGACGCGGTGGCGGGCGGCGGTGGAGGAGGGGAGGTTGAGGAGGAAGGGGACACCGTGGGGGCCGCAGATGAGGGGGAGGGGATGGAGGGAGTGGTAGTCGCCGACGAAGTAGGCGTCGTTGGAGGAGATTAGGTCTTGCATGAGACGATGGTTAGGGAAGCCTCGTTTCAGAGTGCCGTACAAGAATATTAGGGTTTGTTTTTGTTCAGTTTCTTCTTCTTCTCTCTCTGACATCTCTCTGTATCTCTATTTCTGATTTCAGTTATAACCAACTGTATCCAGAGAGGGAGGGAGGAGTGATGAGGCAGTTTTTTTTTTTTGTTTGCTTTTTGGGTAATTCCTTGAAATTGGCTTCCAATATAATAATGAAGAATATTTGGGATCTCTTTTGGAGAATCACTATTTACAGTTACGTGAATTAATGATGTATTTATATTTATGTAATAATTAAAAAAAAATTTATTATACATATCACGCATCACATTATATTTTTAGTTATGTTATTTTTTAAGTTATAATATTATTTTGAAATATTTTAGTTACAACTTTTTATGTTTGGTTATGAATTTTTATTTTTATTTTTATTTTTATTACGACTCAAAAATTATAAAATTATATTATTTTCTTCTATAGTTAAAATGTGCATATTTTACTAATATCAATTGTTATCTATTATTTTGAAAATTATAAATGCCCTTTACAGAGTTTTTTATTTACCTAAATTAACATAAAAATAAAATTTTTAACCACTCTTTTATATAACAATAAAATTATTTTAATTGTCAAGTGTAATATATTTATAATATCGTTAAAAATTATTAATTAATTTAATTATTTATTAATAAAATGAGTCATTTGTTATATAAACATAAACTTGAAGAGATAAAATATAATTTCTAAAACTATAGGGACAATTTTAAAAAAAATTTAAGGAACATTTATAATTTACCTTTTTGGGGGGGACCTGATTGAAAAGTCTTATTAGGAAAACGGATGCGCCAATAAATCTCTTGATATTTTGGTGCATTAAAAAATTGTGTTCACTTTTGATTGTTATCACATAGTTTTTTGTTAGCCGTATTTTTAGGTAGGTACTAATTATTAATTTTTAACAGTAGTTAAAAAATTCATCACAAAAAATCACTAATTGTCATTTTTAACCACAAATTTAGAAAATCATTATAGAAAAATGTCACTAATTGTTAATTTTTAATGAAATAACTAATTGTTAGTTTTTAACAATAAATTCATAAAATCATCAAAAAAAAAATTTAAGTCTAACTGTTAAGATTTTTTTGTCTATACAAATATTTATAGAATTTAATGGTACACAAATCGTTATAGCAAGACCGGTAAATAATTAATTTTTTTATTTTTTATATATAGCTTTTAAGACAAAATACTATCAAGTCACTTAAGCGACGATAGCTTAAGACATGCCCCAAAAAAGAAAAAATTAAATAAATAAATAAATAAAATAAAATATTTATTATTGAAGATTTTAACTTTTCAAAACTTGGATAAGGCCATTTTTCTTGAAGTGTGACGAAATATCATAGTTAAATATTTTCATATTTTGATTCTTTGAGTATTATTGAAATAAATATAAAAGTGATCAATAAGTTAGAGAGGCTTCACATTTACGTTTCATTTACTCCTAATGTGAGATTTACATGTTTCTATAAAATATGTAAAGACTCATATGAATCCTTTCTTTGTACTAATCTGAATTGTAACATATGTCTAGTTTCGATTTCTTAATCAACAAATCGAAAGTGTTAAATTTTTTTTCAAACTCAATCCAACCGAATCTCTTACACCGATGTTGTAGAAGATATTTACTGTTAAACATGTGGTTTGTTATATACAACTTTTTAATTCATTTTTACTTTAAGAGTGGACGAAAACTAATTATTCCTCTTTCTTTTAAGAGGCAATTATAAATTAGGGTAATTGATAATTATAAACATATGGAGGTAAAACTCTTTCCTGTATAAAAAAAAAAAAATAACATAGTAAAAGTTATACATTTTTGCAAAGATGTGTAAACCCACAATTATTAGAGCGCAACCTCATGTGAAAAGATACTGTGGTGTATTTATTATAAATTAAGCGATATGTCTAAGTGCACAGGAGATCAAATATAGAATGAGATAAGATTTCACTCACTCCTCGTAAGGCATTTGTGTCTCATTCTATGTTCGGTCTCTGTGTTCTTAGTATTACTCTAAATTAAGTTTACAAGAAATAGACTTTGGTTATACACTACAAACAAATTTGACCTTTTGCGACGGTTTTGTCATTGCAAATACTCAAATTGCCATCTCAAAAGATTTTTTGAGACGGCAGATGATTTTTAGCGACGGCAAGTGGGGGTCGCAACAAAGGGGGTTGCAAAAAGGTTTTAGCGTCGGCACGTTGCCGTCGCTATTTTTTTGCGACGGCAAAGTTGCCTTTTTCCAACAGAATTTTGCCGTCGCCATTAATATGAAAAAATCTATGATTTTTTGAGACGGCACTGTGTTGCCGTCGCTAAAGGTGTTATTTGCGACGGCAAAAATGCCGTCACAAAAGAATTTTTATTGTGACGGGATACCTGCCATCGCTAAAAAAATATTTGAGACAGCACGATATGCCGTCGCTAAAAGATTATTTGCGACGGCAAAGAGTACCGTCGCAAAAGGCTTTTGTCTCAACTCTGCCAATATCATTTGCGACGGCAATGTGGTGCCGTCTCAAAATAATAATAATTATTATTATTATTAAAAATATGAAAATTACCTGTATTAAATGAAAAATAATTGACAAAGAAACTAATAATTACATAATAATATAAAAATTTCAGTATAAAAATAACAATCCATCCATAATAAAAATATTATTGCATTCATTCATTACAACATATTAGCAAAATTATCCCACTACATAATATTGCATAATACATATACAATGTTTAAATACATAATGTTGTTCACAATTCAAACTAACGTAAATCAAAAACAAAAGTTTCCCTCATGATTCTTCCGTGGGTAACAAAAATAAAAGTAAATCACAATCTTCACACGCCTGCATTCCACAAGAAGCAAACTGCTATTCGGGAAATATTTGAAAACAAAAAATAAAAATAATTAATGACAATATAATTATGTGTTAATATTTTAATTACAAAAAAACATAAAAAAAATTAACTACTATATAATTACAAAGATAATTAAGTAAATAATTTTGGCTAAACGAAAATTCGGCTCTAACTCCCAAACCGGGAACCCGATTGGAGTCTCGTCTTCTCCTACAAGTCTCTCGTGCTTAGGCGGTCGTGTGTGCCAAGTTTCGTACTAATCCGACGCTGTTTGGAGATTTTGGGGCATCAACACCTCCAATTCAAATTTCTTAATAAACTAGTTTGGCTAGATCAAAATCTATCTCTAACTCCCAAACCGGGAACTCGATTGGAGTCCCGTCTTCTCCCATAAGTCTCTCGTGCCTAGGCGGTCGTGTGTGCCAAGTTTCGTGCTAATTCAACGTCGTTTGGAGATTTTGGGGCGTCAACACCTCCAATTCAAATTTCTTAATGAACTAGTTTGCCTAGAATGAAATCCGGCTCTAACTCTCAAACCGGGAACCCGATTGGAGTCCCGTCTTCTCCCACAAGTCTCTCGTGCCTAGATGGTCGTGTGTGCCAAGTTTCGTGCTAAACCGACGCCGTTTGGTGATTTTGAGGACTCAACACCTCCAATTCAAGTTTCTTAAAGAACTAGTTTGCCCAGAGTGAAATCCGGCTCTAACTCTCAAACCAGGAACCCTATTGGAGTCCTGTCTTTTCCCACAAGTCTCTCGTACCTAGACGGTCGTGTTTACCAAGTTTCGTGCTAAACCGACGCCGTTTGGTGATTTTGGGGCGTCAACACCTCGAATTCAAGTTTTTTAAGGAACTAGTTTGCCTAGAGCGATATCTGGCTTTAACTCCCAAACCGGGAACCCAATTGGAGTCCCGTCTTCTCCCACAAGTCTCTCGTGCCTAGGCAGTCGTGTGTGCCAAGTTTCGTATTAAACCGAAGCCGTTTGAAGCTAATGAACAACACTCACATGGAACTAGATTTCGATAAAACATCACTTATTCCAGCAATCCAACCCTATTATGGAAGCTTGAGATCTATCAGAACTTAAGATATAACATGCGTATTACAAAAAATGATTGATTTTGATGAGTTTCAATCAGTTTAACATGTTTTTAACTTCAAAAACGAAATTCACACAGTAATAGAAATAGATTGATGAAACACGAAGAAATGAACAGCACTCACATGGAACAGAGACCGCTCAAACCATCCAGCAAATGTGCAAGGATTAAGAAGCCTATTTCAAGAATGATCCAAATTTAGTTTAACGACAACAACAAGAATTTGAGCAACAGACAGCAAGAACCCAGTTCCCAAGTTCCAAGAAATGCAATATTTCCTATAATTGAAATCAAATTATATGAAAGTGTGGATATATGATCAATTTGTGATAAGCTTGGCTTTGAGACCCTACAATGCTTATGTCTTTTACAATTTATTTATATTGTGTTCGGATTATAGATTTGTGAAGGAAAAAAAAAATAGAAAGGTGAAAAAAAAATAGTAATGCTAGGAATCAAGAATTTAGAAAAACATCAAGAAAAGTTATGTATGGTGAGTTATACTAAACAAGAGTTGAACTTCTACAAAACATTGTTTTTCTTGGTATTTTTCAATTTTTTGAGTTTTTAGTCCTTATCATTACTCAAGAAAAAATTTATAAAGTAAAGATTTTGTTTGGTTTGTTTTTGGGAGAGTTGTTTTTGAAAAAAAATTTGGGGAGAGAGTTTAGAATTTTTTTTGGTTTGTTTGGTTGTATATTTTGGGAGAGTTGTTTTTTTGAGAGTTTGGAATGATTTTACATTTTGGGAGAATTTCAGTAGATGTGTGTGAGAGAAAAAGTGATTGAGAATGAGAGAGGAGAAAGAAAAAGTGATTGATTGATGTGTAAGAGAGAGAAAGTGATTTTGGAAATTTTTGAGAAAAACTCAAACCAAACAATTTTTTTGGAAATTTTTTTCTAAAACTCATCTCCTAAATGCAAACCAAACATACCCTTTATTTTTCATTTTTGTTTATCCCTTTATAAAATCTTGTACAATTTCAGGATCTAAAACCAGAATTTTAACTAACAGTTCATGATTATTACCACTCATGCTTCTTTTACATGCACAAAGTACCACATTGTACAG